TCTTCTTCTAAAAGATTCTACTCAATCTTGTGTGTGTGTGTGCTTACTGTTGAAAAATATCTCAAAGACATCCCTCATACCAAAACACAATAACTGAACAAATTACCCAGATTCCGTGTCCGTTGATGATTTCTGCACATCGTCCTTCTCGTGACTCTTCCGCAAACTTTCACTTCTACGTCGCTTTCGCCACGGAAACTTGATCAGTTTCAAACCACCGCGAGGAGACTGCTGTTGTTGTTGTTGTTGCTGCTGCTGCTGTTGCAGTGCTTTTGATCTACGGCTCGGACGTCGAACGGCTGACTTTTTCTCGTCATCATCTTCATTCTGCTTTTGTTTTTTGCGCATCAATGAGGCAGGTAATGAGAAATCAACGACTTCCGATGGAACGATCAATGAGGATGGGAGAACGGCAAGTAGTGTTGGGAACGCACTTGATATGGACTCTTCTTTCACTGACGGTGCACCAGATTCCTCTTTTACTGACTGCACGCCGCATTCAGGAGATTTCCTTTCTGCAAACCAAATGTTTCAATGGAAACACTGTACAGGCATCAATGTGCATAAACTGGTTTATTGTGAATTTGGTCCAACGTGGTCCTAGTTTTAAGAATCATTTATTTGAGTCGACTGATTACGTTGTTCACTTCAAATCTTTCATCAAATTTCCAAACACTCAACAAAACAAATATACACCACACTAACCAGGCAAAGCAACAGGAATAGGCGATGATATGGGTGATGCCGATGAGGTGCTTAATTCATCAGAAATCGTCGAAGAAGTCGTCGACTGACGTTTTTTCGACTTTGATTTGAAATTCACTGGAAGCTCGAACTCCTTGATCGGGAGCATATCAAAGATTCTCTTCAATTCGCTCAAATGAACCATCTCAGGAAGGGGCTTGCGGTAGCCTGGGATACCTATAAAATCACTGACTGCATGGCAACTGATTTCATGTGCCCTGACAAGTTGTTGAAAATATGAAAAGCTCTAACAAATTCAAAAAAAACTGACATTCAAAATAAATTGAATTCATCGAATACTAACAATTATTATTAATACAATAAGAAGGGCAACGAACTGATTTGAATGAAACCGATATAGCTGCAAACCTTTGAATTGCTTCTTCTCTGGTTCAGGTGAGAATCTTCTTTTCGGAACGGTTAATCGTGAACTTGAGATTGGTCGTGATGAGAAGACACGGCGTGGTTTGAGACGTGTGATGCTCGGCAGAGCCGGTTTCACGAACAGTGAGTCATCGGACGTGGCCGGTGTTGACGGTGCTGAGGAGGACGATGTCGGTGGAGACATCATCGTTTCACCAGATGGCTCGCTTTCGGCACTCGTCTGAAACGTTCACGATTCGTTCTGAATATTCGACTTTCACTTGTACTTACTCCGCATCTTCTTTCAAACTACTTTCTTGATTCTTTTCAACCAACATTTTCATCTGCTTACAAATTCGATATGATACCAAAATAGTGACTTCCTTCTATACAAGTTATTCAGACCCTGCTTACTTCAGGAACTAAAAACTTCCGGGAACATATTTTGACCTCATCTTAAAGATATTCTGATTGTCTGGCACTCTTTTACTATCACTTGTTCATTCGCCTTCAGAGTAGTCTTCATGGAAATGATCCTTTTTGCTACAAATCCTCTAAAGAATATAAGAACTGAAAGAGACTAGA